GAATTCTCTGCCTGAAGAGGTGTTTTTTATCAGAGTCAATACAGATGTTTAAACAGCAGTTGGATAAATACTTCCAAAAACATAACATACAGGGATATAATTTATAATTAGTGGGGTAATAGCTGCTTGATCCAAGGAGATATCTGACTGCCATTTTGGGGTCAAGAAGGATTTTTTTCCTAGTTTGCTGCAAAATTGGAAGCGCTTCAGACTGTTTTTTTTTTTTGCCTTCTTTTAGATCAACAGCAAAAACATATGTGAGGAAGGTTGAACTTGAGGGACACAAGTCTCTTTTCAGCTATGTAACTATGTGTGTTGTGGTCCTGCAAGTTGATCGTTGGTGGAAAATTACCTGTTTTCCTCTGGCCAAGAGCATATTGGTGAAGAAGCCTCCATCCCATGAGGTAGGTTGGATGGCACCCTTTAGCCATAATTGCTGAAGCTCCTGGTTGATAAGATGTATGTTGGCTGACATATAATGGATATTTTGGGGCGGCTGCCACTGGACAGGGACGTCCTCAAATTTTAGAACATATATGTGACAAGACCAATCTCGCCACATTGCATTGGAGAAGCCTTGTTGCTCGCCTGTTGCCTTTGGACTATGGCCCCATGTTAAAAGCCTTCTTGCTTCTGCATTCGGTCGATTAACCGGATGCCTGTTCTTTCAGTAGTTAAACCGTATGGACAGCATTACCCCAGATAGCCATTCCGTGGAGTCTATTCGTATGGAGAACAGACTTTGTAAACACTTTAACTCCACGGCAATTGGACTGTGTGCATAGGATCTGAGCGCTATTCGGTACTTTTGTGCGCTCAGATCTAAGCTATCTGGGGATTGGTAGAATGTATATGTTTTGTGCAACAGTTGCAACTTTATACATTTTTATTTCTTTTACTGCCATGTGGTTAATGGAGTTTTGCCTCTGTCCTGGAAAATAATTGGATTACTTCCCAGTTATCTCCAGGACAGAGGGAGGGAAGTTAGGATGCATTGTGGGGATGTTTTACCTCTGTGTGTCTGTCATTGGTTCACGTCTGTCCTTTGTCACAGTCTCCCATTTGGTCCCCTAGGGGAGTGTCCACCAGGTGGGAGACCTGCATAAATACTGGGCAGGTAGCCCTCATTAAACCAGACCACTACTTGACCCTCAACACTGAGCTCTGTCTCGTCTTTGGGGGGATTTACTGTATGCTGTTCCAGTTTGACTGCTAGGAGTGTAAACCTATTCGTATGGTTTTTCCTATTCGGCTGTTTACAGTATTCGTATGTTTGAGAGCATTCATATGCTTCTCCGGTTCAGTGGACTGGTGTCTACAGTAGCTGCCTGTATCTCTGGAAGGGGAAGATCTCCTAAACGACTTTTAACCCCTTTTATGCCTAGGGGTGCCGTTACAATTGGTGGCAAGCGGCGGGATCGTTCTCACAGCCAACAGGACAGCTACAGGAGACACCATTTCTTTGGATTTACAAGTTAAGGGCAACGCATGTCCCAGTACAGTGACTCTGACAGCACCAGGATGGAACCAGCAGTGGCGTACAGCTACTCTATGAAAGAGTTTGACAGTATGATGGGATTGTGGCTGAAGTACTACGGACCCAATCCACCGGAGAAATCGGTGCAGCTTATAAGGAACCTAGTGTTCAAGAATCTGCAATACTGGGCAGAAAGGGAAGGTCAGCTGGCACGTTGGGAGGAACTCCAGCGGCAGGTACTGCAGGGAATAGGGAGCCCAGTCTCCATTCCCCAGTGGCAGTGTAATTTATTGGGAATTGGGAGCCCAGTTTCCATTCCCCAATGGCTGGCTGATTTACAGGGGACAGAGATAGTTGCTCCTGTCCCCCAGCAGCAGAGTAAATTGTAGGGAATTGGGAGCCCAGTCTCCATTCCCCAGCGGGAGATACAGCAGGGAATTGGGAGCCCAGTCTCCATTCCCCAGCGGGAGATACAGCAGGGAATTGGGAGCCCAGTCTCCATTCCCCAGCGGCAGAGTGTCCTACAGGGAATAGGGAGCCCAGTCTCCTTTCCCCAGCAGCAGGACTCTGTATTGGGAGCAGAGACAGTCGGTCTCCCTTCCCCGCGGCTGGACGTATGTATGGGAGAGGAGCTTGTTACCCCCTCTCCCCAGCGGCAGCTTAACATACGGGGGGGGACAGTAAGCCCCACAACCGTGCAGATGGGACAGTGGTCTCTGCATTTACAGCACAGGGGGTAGGGACGGTCGGTCCTGCCCCCCAGCGACAGGGCTGTTTAGCCAAAGGGGAGACAGTCGGTCTCCCCCTCCAGCAGCAGAGCTGTGTATCTAAAGGGGAGACAGTCGGTCTCCCCCTTCAGCAGCAGAGCTGTGTATCTAAAGGGGAGACAGTCGGTCTCCCCCTCCAGCCACCAGGCTCCAACCAGACTACTCCTGTGGTAGTGCTGGCACCAGGGCAGAGTACCGCTGGTCTCTGCCCACTCAGCAACCCACCAAGTCAGTTTACCAGTCACCCACACAGCCAGGGTGAGGCACCTGGACATGGACAAAGTTCTCCTCTACCCAGATGTAGTAACCAGTTATTGTGGGTGGGCTGTATTACTGATTGTGTGTTGTGGGTGGGCTGCTGGACTAACAAGGGCACTGACCGGCAGGAGGTCAGATACCCTGTTAATATGTTTGGAAAAGGGGAGAGATGTGACGAGACCAATCTCGCCACATTGCATTGGAGAAGCCTGGTTGCTCGCCTGTTGCCTTTGGACTATGGCCCCATGTTAAAAGTCTTCTTGCTTCTGCATTCGGTCATTTAACCGGATGCCTGTTCATTCAGTAGTTAAACCGGATGAACAGCATTACCCCAGATAGCCATCCCATGTGTGCATAGGATCTGAGCGCTATTCGGTACTTTTGTGTGCTCAGATCTAAGCTATCTGGAGATTGGTAGAATGTATATGTTTTGTGCAACAGTTGTAACTTTATACATTTTTATGTCTTTTACTGCCATGTGGTTAATGGAGTTTTGCCTCTGTCCTGGGAGATAATTGGATTACTTCCCAATTATCTCCAGGACAGAGGGAGGGAAGTTAGGATGCATTGTGGGGATGTTTTACCTCTATGTGTCTGTAATTGGTTCACGTCTGTCCTTTGTCACAGTCTCCCATCTGGTCACCCAGGGGAGTGTCCACCAGGTGGGAGACCTGCATAAATACTGGGCAGGTAGCCCTCATTAAACCAGACCACTGCTTGACCCTCAACACTGAGCTCTGTCTCGTCTTTGGGGGGATTTACTGTATGCTGTTAGAGACTGATTTCCAGGAGTGTAAGCCGCTTGAGTGCTTTTCCTGTTCGTCTGATAGCAGTTATTCGTGAGGTTCCAGTTCGGGAGTTTGGAGTGCTTCTTTGTATGCAGTTCGGGCGTTTGAAGCATTCCCTTGTATGCAGTTCGGTAGTTTGGAGCATTCCCTTCTATGCAGTTCGGGAGTTTGGAGTACTAATTTGCAGGGCCGCCATCAGGGCATGACAACCGCAACGGTTGTCATGGGCCCGGCGGTCCTGGGGGGCCCGGACTGCTCAGGTCGTCCGGGCCCCAGATTCAGTGGGTACATACCGGGTCGCAGGGGGCCCTGCGACCCAGTATGTACCCACAGGGCCAGCCTCTTCTCCTGGGGGGCCCCCAGAGGCTGGCCCTGCAGACACCCGGCGGGCGGTCCGGTCGGCGCGCGAGGGAGCTGAAGAGGAAGCACCCAGAGAGTGCTCCCTCGCGCGCCGTACAGATGCCGGAGCCGGAAGATGACGTCATCTTCCGGCTCCGGCATCAGTACGGTGCGCGAGGGAGCTGAAGAGGAAGCACCCAGAGAGTGCTCCCTCGCGCGCCGGACGGCTTCCAGGGGAAATTTGAGTGAGTGGGAGTGGGGAGAGAGGGAGGGAAGAAATGTGAGTGGGGAGGGAGGAACTGGAGTGGGGGGGAGGGAGGGAAGAAATGAGTGGGGGAGGAAATTCTGAGTGGGGGTGGGGGGAGGGAGGAAACTGAGTGGGGGTGGGGGAGGAGGAAGAAATGTGATTGGGGGAGAGGGAGGGAAGAAATGTGAATGGGGGAGGGAAATCTGAGTGGGGGAGGGAGGAAGAAATGTGAGTGGGGAGGAACGAGGGGGGTGGGGGGAGGGGAGGGAATCTGAGAGGGGGGGTGGGGGGAGGAGTGAAATGTGATTGGGGAGAGGGAGGAAGAAATGTGATTGGGGAGAGGGGAGGGAAGAAATGTGCATTGGGGGGAGAGGAGGAAGAAATGTGATCAGTGAGAGGAGGGAAGAAATGAGTAGCAAGGGAAATTTGAGGGGGGGTGGGGGGAGGGAGGAAATCTGAGTGGGGGGAGAGGAGGGAAGAAATTTGAGAGTGGGGTGGGGGAGAGGGAGGAGGAAATCTGAGTGGGGGAGAGGGAGGGAAGAAATTTAAGTGAGTGGGGGGGGAGGGAAGAAATTTGAGTGGGCAGGGAGAGGGAGGAAAGAAATTTGAGTGGGGGGGAGAGGGAGGGAGGAAATTTGAGTGGGGAGAGGAGGAAGAAATTTGAGTGGGGGGGGGGAGAGGGAGGAAGAAATTTGAGTGGGGAGGAAATTTGAGTGGGGGGAGAGGGAGGGAGGAAATTTGAGGGAGTGGGAGAGTGGGAGGATGGAAGAAATTTGAGTGTGGGGGGGGAGGGAGGGAGGAAATTTGAGGGGAGGAGAGGAAGGGAGGAAATTTGAGGGAGTGAGTGGGGGGGAGAGGGAGGGAAGGGAGGAAATGTGAGGGGGGGAGAGTAAGGGAGGAAATTTGAGGGAGTGAGGGGGGAGAGGAAGGGAGGAAATTTGAGGGAGGGAGGGGGGTGAGGAAGGAAATTTGAGGGAGGGGGAGAGAAAGGAAATTGGAGGGGGGAGGAAGGAAATTGGAGGGGGGGAGAAGGAAGGAAATGAGAGGGAGGGGGAGAAGAAGGAAATGAGAGGGAGGGGGAGAAGAAGGAAATGAGAGGGAGGGGGAGAAGAAGGAAATGAGAGGGAGGGGGAGAAGAATGAAATGAGAGGGAGGGGGAGAAGAAGGAAATGAGAGGGAGGGGGAGAAGAAGGAAATTGGAGGGGGGGAGAAGTCAATGAGAGGGAGGGGGAGAAGAAGGAAATTGGAGGGGGGGAGAAGGCAATGAGAGGGAGGGGGAGAAGAAGGAAATTGGAGAGGGGGGAGAAGAAGGAAATTAAAGGGGGGGGGGAGAAGGAAATTGACAGGGGAGAGATTGACATCCAACACACACACACACAATGCACACCTTGCACACAGAAAACACACAATGCACACAGACACACATACACAAGCAATGCATCCCTTACACACAGCAACACACAATGCACCCCTTACACACACTCAATGCATCCCTTACAGATGCACACACTGCATCCCATACATACACAAACTCACCTTGCAGCCCTTACACATACAAACACAGATTCACACAATGCATTCCTTACACACATCAGGACATCCCCCACACACACACACACCCCTGTGAACAAACTCATTGGTGGAACATGAAGGTGGACCCTGGGACCCAGACCTTGAGCTGTGTAAAGGGCCCCCAAAAAATGGAGCTGCTTCCCGTTCTCCCAGAACATTGATTTTTGTGACCACAGTTACAAACCGCCTCCAGAGAGCCTGTTCTACACCAGACCAGTGGAGCCAGACTGCAGCTAGAGCCCATCATCATCCTCATCTGGTTGTAAGTAGGCAATCTAGTATATTATTCGTGGCACTAATCTCTAATTTACCAAACATTAAAGGGACACTATAGTCCCCAGAACCACTGCAGCTTAATATAGTGGTTCTGGTGTCTATAGCCCGTCCCTGCAGGCCTTTTATTGTAAACATGGCAGCACTGTGTTAGTTAACATGGCAGATCATATGGGTGGGGCATTGTGATGTCACATGGGGGGCGGCAAACTTTACTTTTGCCTAAAAATCCTTGCACCGGCTCTGCAGACACTGCATCCCTGTGGGCGGACTCAGGAGGGGAAGGGACTGACGGACTCGGGTGCAGGCACCGGGGGGCCCAGACCTTGAGCTGTGTCAGGGGCCCCAAAATTTCTGATGGCAGCCCTGCTAATTTGTATGCAGTTCGGGAGTTTGGAGCATTCCCTTGTATGCAGTTCGGGGGTTTGGTGTTCTACAGTAGCTGTGCCTGTATCTCTGGAAAGGGAAGATCTTCTAAACGGCGGTTTCTTCATGAACGATTGTGCCTTTTTACAGGGACGTAAAAACGTTCACATGTTTAGTCAGCGCTTTCATGAAGACTTCCCCAAAGAGCTTGTCCTGTGCCTGAGGCTGGGTTCTTTAGCCTCAGTTTTCCGTCAATGCGGAAGAGTGCTGTTTTGCATCTCTCCGAGGAGAGTATTTCATTTATGTTTCTGAGGAAATAGAAGCACCTTTGTGCCCATGTTTTAATGTTGTGTGCCCATTTACGCACCTTGCCTACATCAAATGACTCAGCTCAAGAATAGACATCATCCGCCAGACACATTATGCATTCGAGGGGCCCAACAGCATCCAAGAGCTTGTCCTGTGCACCTTTGAAACCTCTTCCAACCCCTTAACGTGGTTCTTGTCCTCCACAGGCCATGAAAGCCAACATCAGCTAGTAAAATTCTGGCATCAGGGCAATGAAGGCCGCAGACATTCAGACTGCAAATGGTTGTGGCCCTTCTTCTCCCATGGCTTTCTTGGCCTCTTGTGCATACATTTTTAGAGACGGTCAGGCGGTGTCAGAATCCCAGAGCAGGGGTGGCATATGTTGCATGGCTCGAACATGGGTTGGCCCGTAGCAGCTAAAATGACCTATGTGTCCACCTGGGAAGGAGTCATCTTCACCATCCCCACCCTCTAGCATCTGGGACGCACCTAGGAAGGTTTCGTTCACAAACCTCACTGTGAAACCACAAGTGTCATCATCCGATCCAAAGGCATCTGCTTGCCAGTCATCAGTTATTAAAGGGACTGGGGTAGGTCATTGTCCTCTTCCAAGGAGTGACCGTGTTGCATTTAGTGGGCATGAACTCTCTGTAGTAGGAGGTAGAGTCACCATATTCATGGTAGAGGCAAGTATGCCCTTTAGTGGGGTTAGAGCTCACAGAGAAGACCGTTTTCTACCGATGCA